ACAAAAAAAAACAGCCTTTCAGCGCGTCGTTGCGTCCTGCCGTGCAGATGCTGAACCAGCGCGCGCGGCAGGCTGATTGGGCGCAGAGGCAAGCGCCCCATCCAGCGGACGGCCATTTTTCACCCAGGCCGACCCCGGGTATGGGTATGTTTGGGACCAACGTGTGGTGGCACAACACGACGGCAGTGCCACGGATTTGGTGCGCATGGTCTAGAATACTCCACCTCGTCGGCAACATATTGGCGTCACGGAAAAGGAGGGAGCGAAGAGGAGGTCAGTCGATGCAGGAGGACGCCCAATATCATTCCTCGTATCTTTAGCTGTGCGGAACAACACTGTGGAATAATGTACGCTGCTCCGGAAATTCCCGTCGTTGTCCCGCTTACTCCCCCGACTCAGCCATTGTTCCGCGGATTCCTCCCACCGCTCGCCGTCGCGCGCCAGATCAAACCAGTCGCTGCCCAATACCCGAAAAAAACTGCTGCGCCCACCGCAACGCGCGAAATCGTCCAGGGTGACACTGCGAGCCGTGCGTCGTATTCAAACTGCGTAGGTACGCAAAGCCGCGGTGCACCAACGCCTTGCCCACAGAGCGCCTGACCCACCAAACGCTGAGGGGAAACGACGCGAAGCGACCACCAGACTCGTGCGCGCTCCGCGAGGAAGCCCGCCCGTGCCCGCTAGGGCATGGCGTGGAGGCCGCGGCCGCAGCCGTGGCCCATGAAGAGGAAGACCGAGGGCGAAGACGGAAGGCGAGGAAGAGGGAGGAGGAGGAGGAGGACATTTGTTTGACATTTGCTTCAGGGGGACCATCAGAGACAGCAGAAACGATTCGGTCAGCAACCGACCCTCGGACAGTGCGAAGCGTTGCCATCCCATTCGGCTCCAGCAGGCCCGCCCCAGGAGGGAGAGAGGGAGGGAGGAAAGAGGGAAGGAAGGGAAGAGGCTACCCAACAAGGGCTAAAAAGGACGTTGTCCAGTGCTTCGGCTGGGCACCTAACTGAGGAGCCTTCCCAAGTCCACCCCACTTCCACCCAATCCCAGTCGAACCGACCCCTGGACGCCAACCTGCAGGTTTGGACTTCTTTGCATGGGCTATGCCATGGCAGGGCAAGCCAGAGGAGGGAGATTGCATGCGCATCCTCCCTTGGGTGCCAACCTCGGCTGCAGCTGTTGAGGAGGAGGGAGGACTGGAAGGATTCAGGCTGCAAGACTTCGTTTGCCTGCCTGCTGGCCTACAAGATTACTTGTGCCACATTTGTTAATTCGGAAAAGATGCACACGACACTGCATTGCTCACCCTCGCAGCAGTTTGAATGGTCCCTGAAATTACAGGCAAGTGCACATCATAGTGCTTGCACAAAGCGAGGGGCCTGGACAACATGTGATAATAATGGCTAGCCGCTGCGCGTTCTAGCGCCTGCGGCCGTCACGACGATGAGGGTGGGAGCTGAAGTAAGCCATGTTTGGCGAAGTGTGCCTGGTTCGACTGCATGCTGGCGAATTGTTTCAGTGCTGCCAACAAGGTGGTGTAGAAGTGATACTAGACATGGAAAGCCCACATCAAAAGTGCAGATACAACCGCGTTGAAAAAGGACATGCCGTAACCATTGATAGCTCACGCCAGATGGCCTTCTAGCCAAGCTGATGAGCTCCGTAGCCTGCGGTCATTTCCCAAAACGTGCTCACGACTTGCAATATTAGGCATTGCTTGAGGGACCATTCCCTCATGTTGCTGTCTCCGCCGAATTGCTGTTCTGGGCTGGATATTCCAAGCCCCTGGTCTGCTTGAGCCTCTTGGTATCGTCCCTAGCATTGTCGAGCTGTTATGCCAACGATGTGATGCGAGCCTCCTGCAACTTCTGCTTGATATCTTCCATTCTAGATACCGAACGATGACCTTCGCTGGTTACCTCTGGATGGGCTTCGGGCTCTGAGCTAGAGTCCTTGCGCTTGCGCTCCGATTAGGCACGGGCATTCTGGGATCTGACGGCCTCATAGCCTTCTCCATCTTTGACTTTTTCGATTTCTCGTCTGTCTTGGACTTGTTGTGAGCTTTCCTAAGCTTACGGGAAGTTCTGTCCTTCACTTGCTTCGCGCGCGAACGGTGCCGACTGGGGGACGGTTTGCCTTTCTGCGACTAGACTTCGCCTTCGGCTCTGAGTGCTTGGATCGTGAATCTTCATAATCAGACTCGTACTTCGGGGGGCGACGGCTGTCTGATTCTGGAAAGCTGCGGGGCAACGACTTGTTCCTATGCGGTATCTTCCGTTCCTGGCGTGGAGATTCTACTCCAATGGATTACTCCTCGTTTGCATGGGGAGAGCGCGGGACTGCCCTTGGAGGTGTTGACGGCGCGAGGTGACCTTCTGGGCTCTTCCACGGGAGCCCGCGCTTGCATGTAGGTTAAGAAGAAAGCCGGACGCTCCATATCCAACAACCTGGACGCTTCAGGGGGCATGCGATGTATGTATTGTCCTGCTGCGGCTTGTGAACCCAAGGATTAAATACCCATGGAGAGCGGGACGACATGGCTGCTGTCTTTGTGAGCGCGAAAGAAACCGAGTGGCATCCTGGGAGGCTGGTCTGGGAAATTGCTGACCTGGCCAACAGCCTTGAGAAAGTGACAACTTTAACCACAATTGCTTGAGCCACATGGCTACGGGGGAGGAGGAAGAGGAAGAGGAAGGGGAGGGGGACGAGGAGGAAAAGGAGGAGGAGGGGGGGGAGGAGGAGGGCGAGGAGGGGAGGGGGAGGAGGAGGAGAAGGAGGAGGAGGAGGAGGAGGAAGAGGAGGAGGAGGAGGAGGAGGAGGAGGAGGAGGAGGTGGAGGAGGAGGAAGAGGAGGAGGAACGCTGCCCTCGAGCCCCCCGCGGCCAGACGATGTCTTTTTGTGAAGGCAGGCAAGGCGGCGAGCCCAGCAGGGGTTGCGGGGCCAGCGACTACGCTGTGGCGCGGCCGGGACCGGCGAAACGAGATCAAAGGTAAAACAGTGCACCAGAACGGGATTGAAAAGGGGGGGAAGGAGGCGACGGGGGAGGATAGTGGGAGATAGAGCAAGGACGGCGGCAGACAAAGTCGCCGTGCGGCCGCCCACGTCTCGCTCATTGCCTCCCGTTCTGAAAACTTCACAGCGCTACACTCGAGCCCCCCGAGGCCAGACGATGTCTGCTTGTGAAGGCAGGCGAGGCGGCGAGCCCAGCAGGGGTTGCGGGGCCAGCGACGGTGCAGTGGCAAGGCCGAAACCGGCCAAACGAGATCAAATGTAAAAACCGCACACCCGATCCCGCAGGTCCGACTGGCCGACAGGCCGCGCACCCCCAAACCTCGGAGCTCAGACCTGAGTCGGGCGAAACAGACTAGGTTTACGAAGCGATTCCAGCAAATTGCTGAAGCCTGGAGGTCCGAAGAGACTCTGCTATACTTACAATGGCGGAGGCGGCAGCCGAGGCGAACTTTTGGGGATATGGGGTAGCTACTTGCGTCCACTTCTTATTCGTTCCTGGGGCGTTGCCAGATAGGATGATGCGAGGTCTTCCCGAGCGCGTGCAGATACTGCGGCAGGTGTGGCACAGCCTATCGATTCAAGGGATATGCGGAGCGTTCCACGAGGCAATAGAGACCGCCTTCTTCCAAGGGGTGCCGCACTGACAGAAATCAATTTTGAGAAGGAGGAACATGTCGCGCTTGGCAGATTGAGGGAACGGAGGGGAAGCATCGACCATATCTGCGAGGCGCGCGGGTTCTCAAGGGAGACTGGGCAATCAGCAGCCAGAGCGGTCTGCGCGATCTTCACGCTGGCCTTGAAGGCTGCATTGCCCGACGCCAGACGGGCCCGCTCTGGGTCTGAAAAGTTTGGAAGTCCCCGCGGGAAATCCAGAGACAGGCCCAAAAAGGTTTCGGAAACGCTCGACTGAATGCGGTGCAAAGGGGTCCGGCAACAGATCCAACCTTCCAAAATTTTGAAAGCGCAAGGCCTGGCGACGTCCTCCCAAGAGGCCCTGAGAATATCCAGCGAGGTGGCCCCGCACCATAGCTCCCTGATGTTGTCTGACAAGCGGCTGCTGCCCAAGACAAGCCCAAGAAGATGCGGCGATTGAACTTCTCAGCCCTGCGGCGCTCTCGTTAGAAGAGGCGATGCAAGTAGGCAGCTGCCTCCTCATCCGAGCGGCTCATCGCTTCTGTCGCCGTCGAGGGCATGGGGCATTTCCTGCGCGGGCAATGCCCCCACTTGCCTCCGCCGCCTCCAACCGAGCTCTGATATCCAGAGGGATCTTTGGCCAAAGACGGCGATCGCGAAGCCTCGACTGCAGGGCCAAACTGAAGTTGCCCTGCACCAGCTGGCCGAAAGAGTGCACCGCCAGCGGCGCCTTCGCCATCTCCATGAGCAGGCATGTCTCCTTGCCGTTGCGCCGGAGGCTGCGCTGGCCCCGCCGCTGTCCGCGGCGTTCGATCTCGACCAGGGCCCGCCTCTCGGCGGCCATCTCGCCCGACGCCCAGCCGGGCCCCAGGCTGTGCAAGTGGGGCCTGAGAGACTGCAAATCCAGGAGCCCTACGCACTGGCCGAAGAGCTCGCGGAGCACCGCCGGCTTGAAGTCCCACAGGCTGAGCTGCCCCACGGTCGCCCCCCCCCAGGGCTCCCAGGGCCTCCTGCAGCCAGGGCGGCGCATCCGCAGCCTCGGAGCCGCCCCGCTCGCCCGTCTTGCCGGCCACCCCGCCCGAGTCGTTGATCAGCGCCCCCCAGTGGGCGCGCTGGGGGCCAGCCGCGGGCGACGGCCTGATCGGGTGGTCGGGCCGCAGCTTGAAGGCCTCTTCGGTCGCAGGTAGGCGACGAAAGTCAAGGAAATCCAGGTCGCCATGCGCGGCTGCCCCATGAAGCACAAGGCGCCCGCGATGGCCGGCGCAGCCCCCTTGGGCAGCGAAAATCGCAGCGAGCCTGGGGCCGTCGTCACCCAAGACGCACGTGCCCTAGATGACCTCGGCAATCGGGCCTTGACGGACTTGGAGCTCGGGCGCAAAGCGGGCCAGGGCGGCGAGAAACTTGCCGCCCTTGTCGGGCAGGTGCCCATCCAAGCACAGCCTGTCCATGTGCGAAGTCACGGCTAGGTCCAGACCCTCCACGGCGTGCCAATCGCGGCTGGAGTGGAGGCAGTAGTCCACGAAACCCTGCAGCAGCGCTCGGTAAGCAATCTCCGTGTCCGCCGAGACCGCCACGTGCTCCAGCATGGTCAAGCGGCCGCTCGGCGGGCGGGCGGCATGCACCAGGCTCGCCGCGGCCGCCCGGGTCACCGGCGCTGGAGGCCGCGCCGCTGGCCGTCGCATGGGGGCCCGCGAGAATCACAGCAGCGCCCTCGCCAGATCTCCCATCGCCGGCGCCAGCGGGAGCGGCGCCGCAAGAACCCGCGCGGACCCCTGGATTCGAAAGGACCTCTCGGGCCGCAGGGCGGCCGCGATAGGAACCAACGAACCGGCCGCTCTGCCCGCGAGATGGCCCACCAGCTGGGTTGAACTCGCCGAGCCTCCAGCGCGCGTGCAGGTTGGCCCCACTGGCCAAAGATAGCGCGGCAACCTTGCGGAGGGCGCGCTGGAGGTGCCCAGATGAGGCCCTGCCCTCGGCGGCCCCAGGGGCCAAAGGCAAGTTGTCGACTAGCGCAAGAACCGGAGACCCACAGGCGGCCCGAGACCGATGCAAGTGCTTGTAAGCCAAGACCAACACATCCCCTCGAGCTCCAAGATGTTGCCGGGCACGATGACCCTCGACGCGAGCACGACGTTCCACGCGCCCGTGTCCAATATCGCCTTCGGAACCTCATCAAATACCCCCGCTGCGACTGCGACCCGTCTGTCGGGGCCTTGAAGGCCTGCGAGAGGACCCCCATCGCCCGCCGATGAACTGGAGGACGACAAGGAAGGCGGAGGAGACGGAGTTGTTCAGGCATCGGCACCCAGAGCGCGATCCCGAGCCTGTGCGCCACCCTCGACATTGCACCGCCAGCGGTCACTGCGTCGGTCTATGTTTCCCACGACCCCTGGCTTCAGCGAGCTGGCGCAGACCGCGACCCCGCAGGAGCAGGCGTCAGAACAGGCAGCCGCTGGATCCCACTTCGCGGCGAGATTACAGCGCGGAAGAGGCAGGTGACTTCGCGCATGCCACATCTCGCGCAGCACGGAGGGCCAGGTGTCCACCGCCTGAGTCGGGCTGGCAAGGATGAAAACTCAGCAGGCATCGCCACCAGGGCCCCCATCAAGTAGACAGGCCCAAGAAATATGGCCCACCAAGACCTGCAACAATAGCCCCGCTGCAACAACGACGACTGATGACCTCCTCGATCCCCTGGAGAAACCTCCAGATGTTCCGCCGTCTGATGCTGGGACGTGTACCCCCAGACAGCTCCATGCCCAAGATTGCACAGTCAGTGGCCCCCTCCTCCATCTCATGAACCACGAGCCATTTGCCCCTAACGATAATTGTCATAGATTGCATAGACGCAGTAGTCTTAACACGCCCATGGCCAACCCACCGTTAAGAAACTGTCAACGCACGCGGCGCTGCCGACCTTTTGCGGGCCTGAAAGGCGCACGCCTGTCGGCCGTCCTCGATCAGAACAAGCCCCCAGCGAGTCCAGCCTCGGCGATGCTGTTTCGGAGAAACCCTCGGCGCACACGCATGGCCCAGGACAGTCCCATTGGAAGAACGGCGAGGCACGGCAAGAGAGGCGCACCCATGGGGGGCGGCAGTTCCGCCCAGGAAAGAAACTTTCACGAGCGTGGCATCGAACGCAGGGGGCGAGAAATAATGCCCCATCCCTCGCGGCAGCCCCAGTCGGTGAAAGGCGCAGCCCAGATCTCCAGACGCAAGATGCACGAGCCTCTCCGATGTCTCCAAGGTCCAAGGACAAGAACGCACTTGAGGCAGGCAGCCGGGTGCTCGGAGGTCCCCTGAAGTACGCGTCGAATAACCTCGAACCGAAAATGATCCGCAGTCGCTCGATTTTCTTGGCTACAGAAAAAAACACACCAATTTCCCCTCGCGCCCGGCTGCCACCCCCACCCGAGCATTCCACGCCGAAAGAGGCGCGGAAGAAACTCTGCATAGGTGGAGGACCGCTGCTTCTACGCGCCATCTACAAACGCGCCGCGCGGGCAGGCCTCTCGCTGCAAGGGCGCGGCCCCCTGCTCAGTTCTCAGCAACTCCCCTGGGCCGCCGAGGACACTGCCGGCCATTGCCAGCGCCCGTGCCTTGGGAATCCTTCGGCTTGCCAGGCTTGCCCTTGGGTCGCGCTAGCTGCCGCTCCTCCCCGGCCTTCCGGCGCTCCGTCATCGCGGCGCATTCCTTCCCCAACTCCGCGCTGAATCATTCCTTGCGGAGTGGGCGCGCGCAGCAATTCCCGCCCACCGTGTCAGTGCCGTAGTACAGGTGGCTGTCGCTGGCATATGCGTCGTTGTTCCCCGCGAGCCGACCCCTGCATATCTCCTCGATGAGCTGGAGACTGCGCGCTGCCAACTCCGCCGCCGCCACCTCTGGCACATTGGCTTGATCGCAACACGCCAACGTCCCAATCAGGCGGCAGGCCTGTTCATGCCCGGCGACTCCCTGATCGCTGGCACCGAGCCAGCAGTCAGTCCGCCAGCGGCTGCGCCGCGCTAGCGGGGAGCCCCCGCTGGCGAGCATGAAACGGCATACCCGCCACGACATCATTGGGCCTCTGATCGGCCAGTCAGGGTACGTTCTGCGTCATGCCGTTGACGGCGCCCCTGAAGTCCTTGCATCGTTGCCCCGTAGCGTCCGCGGTGATGCCGAGGACCCGCGCGTCGCCAGGAAAGCCAGCAGGCAATCCGGTAGCTCCTCCGACTCCTGGCAGCGCGGGGGCTGCCACAAGCCCCGCTGCGGGGGGGGGGGACCCAGCGCCAGCGGCCGCTGGGGCAGGTGGCACCAAAGCACCCGCGGCCGCAGCCTCAGCGGGAGGGGCGGCCGCCAGCGCGCCGAGGGCGCCGCCATCGGGCACCAGGGCGCCAGCCGCGCCAGCGGGACCTGCAGCAGGGCCGCCCCGCGCAGCCACCAGGCCAGCCAACCCGCCGCCAACCGGCGCCGCCAGGAGCTGCCCCCGCCGCTGCAGGGGGGGGGCGCCCGCCGCCGCGCCGCCAGGCGGGCCAAGGTTGGGCGCCAGCGGGGCGCCCGGGGCGGGGGAACCCAGCCTCCCACCGGCGGCGTCTCGCAAGGCGCCTGCGGCCGCCGGCAGCGGGGGGATGCCTTAAAGCGGTAGATGAGGCCCCCAGCCGCGAAGGCAGCCGCGCCGCCAATCGTTCCGTCAGGCAGGCGGCCCCACAACAGCACATCTGCCCGGAGGCCAAGTCCTCCTCGTACGAGTCGTCGTCGGGGGTCAGCGTCGTGATCAGCGAGGCGCCGCCCAGCGGCATGTAGATCACCATTCTTTCGTGCCACATGCGAGGCCCCCCACGCTGTACAGAAGCACAAGGAAATCGCCCTCCTGCAAGCCATGAGTGCCGATCACCGGGTGGGGCGCCCCCACTGCCGCTGCCGGCACCATGCCTAGCGCCGCTTCAGCAAGGTCAGCTGCTGCCTCGCCTCGAGCGCCGGCAGGTCCTGGTCCTCGTCACCGAACGCGGAGGCCGACGGCGCCCGCCCCGCGGGGTTCGGGTCCCCCCCGACGCGCGGGCAGGCGGAGCGCAGCTGCGCCCGCAGCACGCCTGGGAGCCCTGGGCACCAGAAGGCGCCGCCCAGCAGCCCCAGGAGGCAGCACACGATGGCCACCGGCAGGTGCGTGAGCACAAGGAAGTGGAAGGTCAGCTGCCGCGCGGCACTGACGACGCTGCCCGGGCCACACTCCAGGTGCCAGTCAGGGCAGGGCGGGCAGTGCAGTTAGGGCGCGAAGCTGCAGGGCGGGCAAGGAACAGTGGAGGCGTGCAGCACCAACCCCGTGGACAGGCCCCAGGCCAACTCCGCGACGGCCGAGCGGATCGCCGCCTGCATCAGCTGGTCCTCCCCCGAAGTCTGCAGGGTGCCAGCTTGAGCAAGGACGGCGGCGGAGAAAGTCGCCGTGCGGCCGCTCTCCTCTCGCTCATTGCTTCCCGTTTTGAAAACTGCACAGGATGAGGAGGGCAGAGTGCGGAAGACGGAAGGCGAGGAGGGCGGAGGGCGAGGCGGACGATGACGGAGGGCGGGGGACGGAGGGCGAGGAGGGCGAGGAGGGCCGAGTCTTTGTCTGTATGCGTTCAAGGGGGTGCGTCTCTTAGCCTCCTCCCGTCGCCACGGCTGGAGCCGCCTCGAGATTCTGGCCGAGGAAGCGCACCGCGGGACAGGATCGGGGGGGGGGGATTGCCCGAGGCCCATAGACCATACCACTTCGCGCCGTGGAGAGATTGCGGCGGGGGTTTTTTTGAAATTTCCGACATCTGGGAAACCGCTCCCAGACCCCCGACACCTCGACCCACTGAGGTCTCGACCCATTGCCCAGGACCTCCCATCCCAGGAGGCCCAATAATGGAAAAGCAGGAGAAGAGTAGGGGTATGGGTACCTTTTCCTCCTCTTGAGGGGCGGGGGCAGGGGCCTCGAGCTGTGCATGCGCTGCGCCTGAACCGCGAGACACGGTGCACCACGAAGCCTGCCTGTGTTCACGACGTGTTCGAACAGCGCCGCAAGCGACGCAGACCCGCCGCCCCCTGCGCTGATCCCCCTCCTCCACAATCACTCAATACGAATATACTCTCCAATATGAATATACTCTCCCTCTTCCCCTGATGGCGTCCAGGTGATGGCCGCGCACCCTCCGCGTACTGTTTTTTACACACAGGATGCCCGGGAAATCCCGGGAAACGACTCTCGCTGAGGCGCCGGCGTCATTTTTTCCCAAAATGCTGCTCTCGTTGAGGCGCCGGCCTCATTTCTGCCCCCGAATCGTTCCGAATCGTGCTCCCGCTGCAGCGTGGGCCTCATTTTCGGATCGGTATTTGGCCTCCGTCGTTCAGGATGGCGTTCTCGCCCAGCGCGGGCCTTTTTCTCGCGCGCCCATCCGCCCGCCACCACCGCGCCGCACCGCCACCACCACCACCACCACCACCACCACCACCACCACCACCAACCAGCACCAGCACCAGTACCAACACCACCACCACCAGCACCACCACCACCACCACCACCACCACCACCACCACCAACCACCACCACCACCACCACCACCACCACCACCACCACCACCACCACCACGACAACCACGCACACACGCACGCACGCACGCACGTGCACCACCACCCACTACGCACGCGCGCGCGGAGCCACAGGTCCGCTACGACACGCGTCCGCGGATAGAGAAAATCAGCGCCATGGTAAGGGATGGGAGGGAGGGGTAGGACGTCAGATATGACGCGAGCGCACCTAGCTTGCCCTCCACCTCCTCCGCCTCCTCCTCCGCCTCCTCCTCCTCCTTGTCCTCCCCTCCTCCTCCTCCTCCTCCTCCTCCTCCTCGTCCTCGTTAGTCCCCCGCGAACAAACAACTGTTGTGACATTCTCAGGTACGGGATCGGCACGTGGCCCTTGTTTTTAACACGTGTTCTGCTCACGTGATCCTGTATCGCTTTCTGGAATGC